CACCAAAAAACAAGAACAAAAAACATTGGAAAACGAAAACACCGAATCGTCGTGTTGTTGACGAAAACCTCGCAAAAACACCGGGTTTTCGTGCTGTCGACCAAAAAACCTCCCGAACATAAACGACACAAAACAGGCGGCAGACGGACGCACGTACTTTGTTCGTCTTCTTCTTGTGTTCCTGTAGCTGTTGCTGCTGCTGTTGTTGTTGCCGGCGTTGTTGTCAGCGGTGTTGCTGTCGCTGTTGCCATGGCCCTTTCTGTCGCTGCTGGTGCTGCTGTTGCCGCCTGTTGCTGTTCCGTTCTTGGTGTTGTTACTGATGCTGCTGTGGTTGTGCATGTTTGTGCAAGTTTTGCTAGGTACTTTTGCACATGACGGTTGTAAAAAAACTAGGTCTTCCAACATTCCAGCAACTTCGCAATTGCAAAAACAGTATTCCCAGTTCTCCACAACCGGTTGTTGATCAACCCGGTGCTTTCAGCCGATCCCTGATTGCATATTTGGCTTCAGTGTGTCGCGTCTTGAAAAGATGCAAAAGAGGCGGGGCTGATGGCAATGGGGGAGCCATGGGAGCTGCCCTGGCTGCCGCCTGCGCACGCGTCGAACAGCCAGCTGCCACTGGCGACCAAACAGAAGGTTTGCAAGCCTTTGACCGCGCTTTGCTCGCGCAGGCCGATTTTCCGCAAATTCACACAGCCTTCATGTACTGTAGTACCGTCGATTGGTTGTTGTTCGTCGTGTCATTGCAACGGGATGTAAGCAGCCGGAATGTGGGGCTCGGGCATGCAGTGTGAGCGGATGCTAATGCATCTGCAAGTGGCATATGCATGGAAAGGTGAAGAAGGGCAAGTTGGAGGACATCGCTTCATGTCTTGTTTGATGCTATGTGTAAGGCGATTGCTGAAGCCCTGAACCCGAGTTACAGTGCCAAAGATGCCAATGAGCGTGCAAATTGCCCAGCCGTTTTCCATTGCTGCGTACATGTGCAGGACAACTATGAGATGTTGGAAGAGCTGGGCAGTGGTAGTTTCGGTGTTGTAAGCAGAGCCAGAGACATTCGCACAAAGGCCGTGTCCATGGCAACCTATGTTGCCGTGAAAACTATCCCAAAAAAGAAGATCTCAGATCCCCAAACCGTCAAAGATGAGTTTAATGTTCTCCGCCAGCTGGACCATGCACATATCTGCAAAGCCTACGAATGCTATGAGGATCGCCGCCACATATACTTGGTCATGGACATTTGTGCCGGGGGCACTTTGCTGGAAAGCTTGTGTGTTCAGCAACGATTTCCTGAGCCAGATGCGGCAAAGATCATGCGACAGACTCTCTCTGCTTTGTCTTACCTACACCAAGCCAACTTCATATTTCGTGATTTGAAAACCGAAAATATCATGTTCGCAAAGCCCGTGCAAGATGGTGAAGTTGGAAACATCAAACTGATTGACTTCGGCTTGTGTTGCCCGTTTCGACCTGGAGCGAAGATCACCCGTGCGGCTGGCACCCCGTACAGCGTTGCCCCCGAGCTCGTGACTGCTCCCGTACAGTATGACCAGCGGTGCCTCTGCCAGCAAGGGCCGTGTTGTTGAAGTCTAGGGTTTACGAGGCGCATTCACCGTATCGCCGGGAAAACTCGCAAAATATTGTTTCAAAGAGGCCAGTAGAAGTATCTGTAAAACTATGCTGTAGTTAGAAGTTACAAGAACAATTGTTGTGCTAGCAAAATGGTGTTTGTAAGAAGCCTTTAGCTTTGATGCTGTTTTGCTTTCGCAGCCGAGGTGTGACTCCTGGAGCGCCGGTGTTGTATCTGGGCACTCCATGGGGTGTCAGTAAGGGCTTAGGGCCGGGCGTACGGCATAAGGTTATCCTGGGACTTATTTATTTTGGGTTATGGGATTGCATTGGGACGGTTTGGGGTCTCGATTTTTGTTGTTAATCTTTGAAATCCTGAGTACTTTAAAGGTGAAAAAGCATGCCGTTATTGGACATGTCATGTCATTGCTTCTTTTGCGAGGTGATGTTCATCATTTTGTCTGGCCAGTATCCTTTCTCCGGCAAGACGAAGGCGGGGTCTCTGGCTTTTGAAGGGGTTTTGTACGGATCACGGACCTTATGAGTGTTTTCTTTTCTCGCCGTGCTTGCAGGATGACAGTCGAGTGGGGGTGCATACGTAGATTTCAAGCCGTGACTCACTGCTGCCACCATCATGAAACCCCGATAGTTCCAAGAAAGCTGTCCTGCCTATGGCAGCGCTCTGCTGCTTTACGCTGATGTCGGACCTTACTGGTACGCTTGTGTTGGTCAAGTTACACCAATTAAACCATCTTTGTCACTTCAGTTTGTTAGACTCTGTTGCATTATCTCCTGCTGACACGAGCTGCTACTTTTGACTTTTTAAGACTTCAACCAAAGCTGTTTCTGGCATCCGCAAACAGCACGGCCATTGTGTTCCAGCAGCCAAACCTGTTTGTCATTCGCTGCAACCTGTGATTCCCACCAACCCCTGAACTCGAACACTTCAAAGCAGCAGAGGCAAAAACGAACCTGAAGCGCCCTGCATCCTAACCCCTCAAGCTGCAAACTTAAATTTCGTCAAAACTAAAGCACGAACAGTGCCCAAGGAAGAGCTCCTGCACAAGATACGGAAAGAGCCCGTCAGTTTCAAGAGCGCTCGGTGGAAAAAGATCACAAAGGAAGGTGGCTCGACTGTTTTGTTTAGGCTTGAGTGTGGACTGTTGACGGGGCGGTATCACCCACATACAGACTATGAGCGTGCTGTGTTTAGTAGCAGCCGTCGTCGTGTTCGTTTTGGTCGTGATAGTGGCACGAATACCCGGTGTAGTGTTGGTAGGAGTCGTGGCAATAGTAGCAAGAGTAACTTAGCAGCGGTGCCAGTGATACCCGTTGTCATCGTAGCCGTAAGCGAAGTAGTAGTTGTGGTCGTCGGCGGGTCGTCATGGTCGTTGCGGTAGTCGTCGTCGGAGTGCTACTGCTACCAACTACTACCTACCTCTAGTAGTACTAGTCGTCGTAGCCGCAGTCGTAGTCGTAGTCATAGTCGTCGTCGTCGTAGTCGTAGTCGTCGTCGTCGTCGTCGTCGTCGTCGTCGTAGTAGTAGTAGTAGTAGGTGCGGGTG